GGGCCAGAAAGCTCACGCATCCAGCAGTACTGAGAACCCTCCACCTGCAGCATCGGAGGAGGGCTACTGGGCAACCTGTACCCCCGCCCCCACCAGAACAGCATCAGAGGATGCCAGCTGAGATGGAGGTTTAAATGAGGCCCAGAATCTCATACCCCAAGTCTCCCAAAGTCCAGGCTTCAGTTGCAAATCACTCTTCATACCAAGATCCAGGAAGATCTCAAGCTGAGTGAGAAACCGCGATCAAGAGAAGCCAATCACAGTGGACATAGCCCTGCTCAGGCGGCTGTTACGAAACTCCTTCAGCAATGAAGACGACTGAAACAAATGGAAACGTGGAAAGTCTCTGAAAAGAAAGAGAAGCTTAAAGAAGGACCGAACGGAGATTTTGGAACTGGAAAATATAGTAACCAAAATGTAAAACTCAACAAATGGGCTCAGGGCCAAAACAGAGGGGACGGAGGGCTGACTCAGCGACCTTACAGATGGAGCAGCGAAAATTACTCACTCTGAACAAGAAAGAAAAATAGGCTTAAAAATGAGCAGGCCCTCTTTGTGACCCCATGGACTGTAGCCCACCAGGCTCCTCCATCCATGGGATTCTCCAGGAAAGAGTACTGGAATGGGTTGCCATTTCCTTCTCCAGGGGGTCTTCCCGACCCAGAGATCAAACTTATGTCTCCTGCATCGCAGGCAGATTCTTTACCATCTGAGCCACCCTAAAGGACCTAAGAGACTTTTTTATGTTTTAAAGGAAGAGGATCTAACATTTGAGTGATCAGAATCCCAGGAAGGAAAAAAAAAAAAAAGATGAGAGTGGGACTGGAAAAGTTTTCAGAGAAAAGCTTCTCAAATTTGGCAAAAGACCAGAATCTACAGATTTAGGAAGCTGAGAAATACCCTAAAAGGATTAACCAAAAGAAATCTATGCTGAGATATACAGCATGTTAAAACTTCTGAAAGCTAAAGACAAAGTCTTAAAAGCAGTAAGTAAGAGAAATGGCATCTCAGGTATAAGAGAAACAATTTGATTGACAGCAGATTTCTCATCAGAAGCCATGGAGACCAGCAGGAAATGGCACACATTTTTCAAGCGCTGAAAGAAATGTCAGCCCGGAATCTTATATCCGCTGACAATATCCTTCAGGGATGAAAAAGAAATCAAGACATTCTCAGAAGAAAGAAAACGGAGAGAATTTGTCACCATCGTCATCAGACCATCCCTAAAGGAATTATTTCAGGAAGTTCCCTAAACAAAGAGAAAATGTCAAAAGCAGGCATCTTGGCACTTTGAAAAAGAACACAAAGTGAACAAAAATATAGGTAAACACAACAGACTTCACCTCCTCTTAAATCTCCAAAATTTTGTTTGACAATTGAGGCAAAAACTGTACCACTATCTGATGTGATTCCCAGTGTATGTAGAGGCAGTGTTTAAGACAATCACATATGAATGGGGCGTGGACACAGGGGGACTCATGTTGCTATACTTCACTCCAACTGATAAAAGTCAAATCGACAAACTGTGATGTTATGTAATTATGATGTACACCTAGGGCACCACTGAAATATGGAGAGATGCAATCAGAGACACCGTATATAAATCAAAGTAATTCTAAGATAGTTTTTATTCTGTTCGTTACCTTTGGCCGTGCTGAGTCTTCGTGCGGCTTGGGCTTTTCCCCGGTTGTGGCAGGCGGGGGCCTCTCTCTTGCTGGGGAGCGCGGGCTCTCAGGCTTCAGCAGCGGCGACTCGTGGGCTCAGCAGCTGCGGCTCCCAGGCTGAGCTGCCCCTCGGCATGTGGGGTCTTTTGGACCAGGGATCACACCCGTGTCTCCTGCGCTGGCGGGCGGATTCTTTACCACTGAGCCTCCGAGGAAGCCCACATCTCTTAAAGGTTCAAGTGGCACACAAGAAGACAGGAAAAAGAAAACAGATTAAGAACAGAGGGAACAAAAAGACAAGAAAATTAAACAGCAGACTTAAACCTAACATGTCAATAATTAGATTAAATCTAAACAGTCTAGTACATCGATTAAAAGAGGCGGACCACGTGGGAAAAATAGCCCAGGTATGTGCCATCTACTGGAAACTCACGCACTCTAAGGGCACAGCTGAAGGTCAGAGAACGGAGGAAGCGACCACACGCGGCGCTGGTGAGGATGCAGAAGCACCGGGAGGCTCACGTGCTGCGGCAAACAGGCAGTTGCTTCAGCCAGACGCTCATCGTGCCCCCGGCGCTCGTGTTCCTGGGCAGTCACGCCGGAGAAGCGGTATCTCCCGTCCACACCAAGCCCTGCAGGCAGCTCTTTGTAGCAGGTGTTTATAATAGTCAAAAACTGCGAACGACCCTGCCATCCGGTCCAGGCGACAGTCTCAGCAGCCTGTGTCCCAGCACCAGCTTGAGCGGGTCTCAAGGGCATTGTGCTGATCGAGAAGGTCACCCACTATGGATCCCACTTACAAGAAACCCCCCGTTTTTAGGGCTGCAGCTTGTGGGGTGTTCCCCCCACCCCAGGGATGGAACCTGAGCCCCCTGCAGTGGAAGCTCCGAGTCCTAACCACGGGACCGCCAGGGAAATCTTGTAGGAAAGCCTTGAAGTGAGGAAGCTGTGAGATGACTCCTGGGTCAGCGGTGGCGGGGGCTGGGAGTGGCGGGGAAGGGAGCGGTCTCTGCGATGGGGACGGTTCTGTATCTTGACCGCGTGCTGGTGACACGCATCGTCACCTGACAAGGGACGGCAGACTGCGGCCCGCGTCGCAGCACACAGCCTCGGCGGTCACAGGAGGTGCTGCCACGGGGAGGCCGGGAAGGAACGCGGAGGTGGCCGGGGCCCGCTTTACATTCCTGGTGCCGCCTCCGCTAAACCCACCTTTGTTCCTGCTGCTGTTGAGTCACTAAGTCATGCCCGGCTCCTTGCGACCCCACGCACGCCAGGCTTCACCCAGGTTCGCGTCCGTTGTCAGCGATGCCATCCAACCATGCATCCCTCTTCTCCTTTTGCCTTCCGTCTTTCCCAGCATCAGGGTCTTTCCCAATGTGTTTATTTCAGATGAAATTGCAAAACGGTTTTCTTCACTTTCCATCCAAGTGTGTTCTCAGAGGAGCGATCAGGAGAGCCCAGAGGTTTGTGCTTGGGTTAGGGACAGTGAACAGTCGCTGTTTCTCCGTTGTCAGCCTATCCCGCTTCTGGGAAGGGAGCCACACCCTGGGGGCTCAGATCTGAGGGTCCTACCCCCAAACCCCCCAGCTCCTGCCCAGAGCCCCTCGCCCAGCCTGGGAGGAGCTCCCTCTCACCAACGGTGCTCGGGGCAGCACGGAGCCCCAGCATTCACCCCCATTCACCCCCCAACATGCACCTGTCATGTCCTCATGCCGCCCCCAGCACTGAGCCTCCTGCATGGGTGGGAGCCGGGCTGGGAGCAGGGTGGGCGTCCACGAATCCAGCCCTTGCCTGCCCCGGAGAAAGGGGGTGGGGGCTCTGTCAAGTGGAGACCACGCCCCCTCCCCGTCCACTCCCCTCACCCCCGCACATCTCTAGCACGCCCCCGTCTCACCCACCAAGCTGATGAGACCCTCCGCTGCTGCGTGATGGGAAGTGGGGGTGGGGGCAGTGGGGAGCAGGCCAGGGCTGCTGGGCCCTGTGACAGGGACCCCCTGACCATTCAGACACAAGCAGAGCCCACGAACCGCCCTCACACAGCCCTGCAGGCACTGGGGGCACCCCCACACCCCAGATCCTGGCAGACAGCCCTCCAGAATCACACCCATACCCATCAAAACAAAGCAATCATGTTCACGCACACACACATACACACACACCCCGCACACGGTGCAGACGGTCACGGGGCTGCCGCCACCAGCAGGTCGGCTTCGCACAGACACACCCGGGGCAGACCAGACACCCGGAGCTGCTCACACACATGCACCTGGGGGTGGGGGTGGGTGAAGGGGGCTTCCACGCTGCCTGGCCCGGGGCTGAGGCAGAAGGCGCACCCAGAGAGGCGGCCACCAGCCCTGTCCAGGCCGCCCCAATCTCACATCGCATCCACCCGCAGGGCCACCCTCTGCCCGAGTGCAGGGTGCCTGCCCCCTGCGAACCCTCAGCAGTGGAGACCCTGGCCCAGCCTCACCGCCCCCCGCCCCGCTTACACGAGCACCGACTGGGTGCCTGGGCCCCTGCAGTGAGGAAGGCGGCCCATGTGTCCTGCCCAGGTGAATGCTCAGTTGGGAGTGGGCACGTGTGTGTGGCAGAGGTCCCGGGACAGGGCTGGCCAGGCGCCGGGGGACCTGGGAACGGGCCAGGCCTCGGCGACCCAGGGGTGTACCTCTGTTCTGACTGCCGCGCAGCCCCAGCAGGCCTCCGGCCGGGAGCTTATGCAAGACCCACGGTGGCCCCTCATCTCCGGGTCAGGGTGCCTGGGCCCCGGAGCGCTGGCGGAGGTCGGACCCGCCTGGACCGGGCCATGGCTGGGTCTCCACGGCGGAAGGTGTCCCAGGACTGCGCCGGAGGGGCCGGAAGAGTGGTCAGTAAGGACACTGACTGTGGGCAGGGACCTTCTCCAAAGACAAAGGGGCGTCTGCAGAGGGCAGCAGTCAGCGGGATCCCCGGGAGACCAGAGCCGGGTGTCCAGGCGATGGGCCAGGGCAGGATGGGCAGACAGATGGGCCTGCGCGAGCAGCGGAAAGTCGGGGATCGGGGTGTGCCCCGCGGGACGAGCACTGCCTGGCCAGCCACAGGTTCTCCCCAGCTGCTCCCCCACATGGGTTCCCAGGTGCCCTGGCCTTGGGACCCCCGGGGAGGACGGACCTCAGGGGTTCAGGGTGGTGGACATGCCTGCCCTGGGCGTGGTCAGTGGGTGGACCCTGTGGAGCCCAAGTCTTTCCCCAGACCCCACAGGCCTTCCCCCGGCCCAGCCTCAGGGGTGAACACCCCCACATGAGCCCCCGCACCCCCACCTCTGCCCAGAGCCTGGAGAGACAGTGACGTCTGTCCCTGTCAGGGGGACGGGGTGGAGGGATGTCCCCCTTCCTCGGCCACGGGTGGAGGGTGGCCTGTGGGGGGTCTGCGCGTCTTCACTGTCCAGCGAGAGGGCGGTGGGCCCAGGCGAGGCTGCGGGGCCAGCAGGGCGGCTCCGTGCGTGTCCGGGGCTAGGTGGGGCGGCCCTGTGGGGCAAGGTGGGGCGGCGCTGCGGTCCAAGGGGTGCTAGATACCTGGGTCCCAGGAGAGCGTGCCGGGGGCTGGGCAAACACGTGCAGAGGGAGCGGACAGGCTGCCTCTCCTTGTCCAGGCCCAGCCCTGGGGTACTGTGGGCTCCAGGCTACCGTCGAGGGCCCCCTTCCCAGCCCCTAGGGGGCAGGAGGCACACGCCTCACGGAGGCCGGATCCCAGGAGTGCGATCTGCCTCCTGGAGCTCACGCGAGCCACGGAGATAAGGCACAAAATAATTAGTGAGCAGAGTGTATAATTAAGTGCTAAATTGTGTGTTTCAGACTCTCTGAGCTGCGGGAGTGCGAGGAGGGGAAGTAGCCCCAGGCTGGGGACTGGTTCCAGGTGGGGTCGGGGCAGAGCGGGGTGGGGGGTGTCAAGCGAGGAGGCAGGGGCAGCAGGCAGGACCGACTGGCCAGCTGGGTGGGCAGGGCTGGCCTCACCCAGGAAGCGGAATTCCCGAGCGCCCGAGTCTGTGTCCAGAGACCAGCCACAGGGTGTGCCCAGACAGACGGACACACAGGCAGACGGACAAGAAAGAGATGTTGAGATGAGCAAACCGCCGGCTTCGAGCTTCCCGGCTCCCAGACCTGGGGGAGCCCCGTTCAGAGGGGCCCTCCCCACACGTGTCCTGTTCCAGGGGCCAGGAGGTGTGCGGCCACCCCGGGGTGGGGGTGCTGGCTGGCGGGACATCCCCGAGAGGCCTTCAGAAGCAGAGTGTTCTGGGCTGGCTTCAGGCCGCGGGGGTCCAGGCTCGAGCAGACGGTGCCAGAGCAGGGGTGGGCGGGCAGGCAGTACATGGAGGCAGGGCTGCAAGGTCGCTCTCCGCACCCCGGGGGCAGCCAGGCAGACGCTGGAAACCGGGCGGTGTGCCCCTGGCACCGTGAGAGCCGGCGGTCCCCCTCGGCAGCGCCGTGTTTGCAGCCTGGCTTAGCTGCGGCCTGTGAGACACATATCGTGACAGGCCCGTCCTGCACCAGGGGCAGCGCTGTCCCTAAGGGCGCCGTCACAGCCGGGCACTGCGGCACAGCCTCTCCTTCCCACGCCCGGCAAAGCACTCAGACAGCTTGGCTGCCATCAGGGGAGCCTGGGGACGGGCTCCCGCTCTGCAGCAGCTCCACACGCCCGCAGGAGGGACTCACAACGTATTCACCCCCGACGGTATCTGCTGGGCCCCAGGCACCATCCTGTGCGGCAAAAACATAAAGCCACAAGGTGAAGGTGGAGCGTGGCGGACGTGGTCAGGGTCGGAGTCACTGAGACTCGGGGGCAGAGGCCCAGAGGAAGCGAGAGGGGGTGGATGGGGACCCCGGGGATGGGCCAGCGTCCAAACAAGGCAGCAGCAGGTGCACAGCCCCGGGCAACGCGGGCCTGGCTTGTCCTGGGGCTGCGAGGGGCCTGCGTGCGGCTCAGTAAGCGTGAGCAGCAGCGGCCCGTCCCCAGCTGACCCGGGTCCCCTCCTCCAGGGCTCAGGCCCGTGTCCGTCACAGCCAGCGTCCCACACCCTGGCGTGGAGGCCAGCTTCCAGAGAAGACCCAGCTCCAGGCCCCAGCGGGGGTTGCCCTGCCTGCGCGGCAGAGTCCAGACCGAGGTTGCCTCCACTCCTGGGCTCCGGAGGCCTTGCTGTGGTCACTATGGAGAGTGGGCAGGGGGGACAGACTGGGTGGGGGTGCGCGGCCGCCCCACAGTCTCCAAGTGTGTGCACCAGGGTGGGCAGGAAACACGTAGCTCGGAATGGGGGCTGCTCCATATCTGGCGAGGGAGCGTCCTGGGGAGGTGGGGGGCTGTCCTGGGCGTGGGGCGGGGAGGTGCTGCAAGCGCGGGGGCCTTGGGGCTGGGGGCCGGCCCCCAACCTGTACCCCAGCCCGGCCCCCAGCGGCCATCCCAGGGCCGAGGAGGTGATGCCCGCAGCCAGGGCCTCCGCAGGTCGGCCAGCGGAAGGGGGGGCTTCTATTTTCGGGTGACAGGAACGCCCCCTCCCCCGGGGAAGGGATCCCAAGGCGCTCGGGTGGCGGGCTGTCCACTTCCCTGCTAGGCCGGCGGCCGGCCCCCTTCCCGACCCTGGGTCTGACTCCACGCCCACAGCCCCCAGCACTGAAGCCGGTGGGAGGGCCTGGGGGCGGGGCCGCGGGGCGGGGCCACGAGGTGGGCGGGGCGGGCCAGGCTGGGGGCCCTGGCATGGTGGCGGTGTGGGCTGGAATGGGGGGGAGCGGGCTGGGATGGGCTGGGATCGCGGGAGTGGGGGGCGAGCTGGGATTGCCAGTCGACGTGCCGGGCTGGGATGGCCGGTGGGGGCGGTTGGGATACAGGCGGGGAGATCTGGCTGGGATCGCGGGCCGGGGACCGGGCCGGGATACAGGTGGGGGCCGGGCTGGGATGGCCCGTGCGGGCGGCTGGGATACAGGTGGGGTGCGGGGTGCCGACACAGCTGGGGCGCCGGGACCGGGGGCCGCAGCCGCTGAGGAGCGAGCGCCCAGCCGGTGCAACGCCGCCCCTGCCGGCCGCGCTGGGCATCGCAGCGCCTGCGCTGCTGGGGCCGCTGGGCGGGGGGCGGGGGTGGGCGCGGACCGACCGGCTCCGGCGCGGTTTGCAAGGCGGAGCGCGAAGCGGTGGCTCTCCCTGTCACTCCGGACAGCCCCTCCGCCCCTGGGTCTCGTTCTTTCACTGCGGGACGAGCCAGGGTCGCGCAGTGAGGGTGGCGGGGCTGTCCCCGCAGCCTGCGGGCTGCATGGCACCTGAGCAACAGTTTACTCAGGTGGCGGGGTCTCGGTACCCCCTAACCTGCCTTAAAGTTGTCAGCTCTCAGACCTGTAAACGCCCAGAAGGTGGAGTGAAAGTGCTGAATTCTGCAGTTTCTAGACGGTGTTCCTCCAAATCTGCCTTTTTTCATTCATTTCCTCTTAGCTCTGGAGCAAAACAGTGACCTTGAACTGCAGAGTCTGGTGTGTAAAGATTCTTGACTTTGAGAAGCAAGGACCCTCCAAAGTCAAGCAGCTTTGAGCACTATTAAAACACATCCGGAAGACTAAAAATTTAAAAAGCACTTAAAAGGGGAAAAAAAACAGTCAAAAGATGAATGATAAACTGGGGGAAGCGTTCGCAGTTCACATGACAGAAGTCTAATCCCAGGGTCAGCAGACGCACTGTCTGCATAGTACACGCCTCTAGCTCCCAGGCCGTAGGCCCCGTCAGCTTTCCTGCGGTAACTGCAACAGCCACAGACAGGGAGCCTGGCTGTGTGCCCCGAGGGGATTTTGTTGATTAAAAAAAATAGCAAGTCAGCAGGCCTGATTGAGCCTACAGGCCATCAGTCAGTTCAGTTCAGTCGCTCAGTCATGTCCTACTCCTTGTGACCCCATGGACTGCAGCACGCCAGGCCCCCCAGTCCATCACCAACTCCCGCAGTTTACTCAAAATCATGTCCATTAAGTCGGTGATGCCATCCAACTATCTCATCCTCTGTCATCCCCTTCTCCTCCTGCCCTCAATCTTTCCCAGCATCAGGGTCTTTTCAGATGAGTTAGCTCTTTGCATCAGGTGGCCAAAGTACTGGAGTTTCAGCTTCAGCATCAGTCCTTCCAATGAACACCCAGGACTGACCTCCTTTAGGATGGACTGGCTGGATCTCCTTGCAGTCCAAGGGACTCTCAAGAGTCTTCTCCAACACCACATTTCAAAAGCATCAATTCTTTGGTGCTCAGCTTTCTTTGAAGTCCAACTCTCACATCCATATATGACCACTGGAAAAACCGTAGCTTTGACTAGATGGCCCTTTGTTGGTAATGTCTCTGCTTTTTAATATGCTGTCTAAGTTAGTCATAGCTTTTCTTCCAAGGAGCAAGCATCTTTTAATTTCATGGCTGTAGTCACCATCTGCAGTGATTTTGGAGCCCCCCAAAATAAAGTCAGCCACTGTTTCCACGGTTTCCCCATCTATTTGCCATGAAGTGATGGGACCAGATGCCATAATCTTAGTTTTTTGAATGTTGAGTTTTAAGTCAACTTTTTCACTCTCCTCTTTCACTTCCATCAAGAGGCTCTTTAGTTCGTCTTCACTTTCTGCCTTAAGGTGGTGTCATCTGCACATCTGAGGTTATTGAGATTTCTCCCGGCAATCTTGATTCCAGCTTGTGCTTCGTCCAGCCCCGTGTTTCTCATGACGTACTTTGCATATAAGTTAAATAAGCAGGGTGACAACATACAGCCTTGACGTGCTCCTTCCCTGATTTGGAACCAGTCTGTTTTTCTAATTGTTGCTTCCTGACCTGCATACAGATTTCTCAAGAGGCAGGTCAGGTGGTCTGATATTCCCATCTCTTGAAGAATTTTCCCGTTTGTTGTGACCCACATGGTCAAAGGCTTTGGTGTGGTCAGTGAAGCAGAGGTAGATGTTTTATGTAGAAGGAGATGTAGTAGACTATGGGCCATAGTCTGGTCTCATTTAATCAACATATGATGAGCTCCTAGAAATCAAGAAGAGGCAACCCAGTAAAAGTGGAGAGAAAACATCAATAGACGGTTTTTCAGAAAGGAAACTCAAAGGCCTTGAACCTGCGTGACAGACGCCCGCGCTGTCACATGACCCGGGGAGCCGAGATGAAGGACCCAGAGCTGCTCTGCGCAGGGACGCATGGGAACCAGGTCCCGGCCGTGGCGCTGCGGGGAGCGCCTGGCCGGAGCCCACGGATGGGACGCTGTCTGTCCAGCAGGGTCTGGTCCTGACCCCGCAGCCCACGCCAATACTGGACCTGGAGACACAGCCGGGCCCGCAAATGACAAGATTGTCCTGGGGGAGCTGGGGTCCGTGTCTGTGACGTGCGGGCAGAACCCACCCGGGAGCCGGTACAGAGTCTCTGCCTCGGAGGCCCAGGGGACCACACGGAACTGCTGAGGCAGCAAGGGACCAGTGCCTGTCTGGGGAGTGGCGGTCAGGCCCAGGGAGGGGAGGGCTTCAAATCCCGGCAGCACTGAAGCCCTGTGAGGAGGTGTCTTCTCAGCAAGGTCAAGCTTTGAGATCCATGTGTGTGGCTGCGAGGGAATGGGGGAAAGAAGCCATACCCAGCAGAGTGCGTGTGCACACGTGTGCATGCTAAGTCACGTCTGACTCTCCAACCCCGTGGACCGTAGCCCGCCAGGCTCCTCCGTCCATGGGATTCTCCAGGCGAGAATACAGAGTGGGCTGCCATGCCCCTTTCCGGGGGATCTTCCCAAGCAGGGATGGAACCTGAGGGTCCTGTGTCTCCTGCATTGGCAGGCGGGTTGTTTACCACCTGGGCCACCCCCCGAGGATGCCCCCAGACCAGCTGGGAGACCGCCTGCGCAGCACGGGAGTTCCCTCTGTCAGATCCTCTCAGCGGGCTGTCCAGCCTTTGAATACCTCCCAGGACAGGAAACTCACTACCTGACGAGGAGGGCGTTCCCTGGCCCCTTGGTTCTGTTAGAAGTGCCCCCTCACTCACAGGCGTGCCCTCCCCACCGGCTCTGTCAGGGAAGCCGCCCCTTTCAGTCTAGGTGCCTTCCGCGGGGTTGCCCTGAGCTTCCGGGGCCACAGCAGGCCAGCCGGCCTCTCCCGAGACTCCCTGCCTTGGCTGTGTTAACCTCTAACGTGGCCAGGACGGCGTGAGCCTCAGGGCCTTTGCACTTGCCCTCTGTGCTGTCGGGAAGGCTGTGTGTCCGTCTATTCCCTCCCAGCTTTGCAGGAGGAACGTGAGCTCCTTGGCGAGGCGACCGCCCTCGCTGGCCGTGTTCCCCAGTCCTTCCGTTTCCCGACCTCCTGTCTCACCCTGGGATCGTCTCATCCTGGGATCATCTCATGTATTTCTCAGCTGCGTCCTGCGGCTCCAGAGAACCAGGTCCTTGTGGGTCTCCGTGCCTGGACAGCAGTGTGGGGCCTGCTGACTCCGTGCCCCCGGGGCCACGGGGCTGAGTGTCATCTCCGAGTCTGTCACCAGCCTTGCCGTCTGTCCCCCGCCCTCCTGAGGAAACACCAGGCTCCAAATCCCGTTGGAAACAGGCTAATTACCTAACTGCTCTGCGCTTCGGTGCAGGGTGCTATCAGAGGCGGCTCTGCAGCGGCCAGGCCAGCCTGGCAGAAAATTGAAGCTCAGCCAGAGGGCATCACAGCGGCAGAGAGCCAGGTGCCCAGCCCAGGGCCAGGCCGGGAGGGTGGCAGCTGGTGCGGAAGCACGGGTTGGGACGTCCCTGCCACCGTGTGCCGCCCGGAAACCTGGGGACCCCCTTTTCCTCTATGTTTTGCAGGAATGATGCTCAGACTCAGGTGCGGACCCGTCGGCGGGCGGCAGGAGTCTCCCTTCCCCACCCTGGTCCCCAACACCCGCCGCTCCCCAGACGAGGGCGCCTGTGTGCTGGGGGTCTAAAGACATCGTTCTGTCTTGTCCGCACTCACCATGCCGCGGGGACCTTCCTCATGGGGGCTTCCCGCGGCCCCACCCTCCTCACTGGGCTCTGTGCCCCCCTGGACATCACGGTTGCCCCGACCGCCTGCCTTTAAGGCAACGTCATGACTTTGATCTTCCTTCGCATCTCGTGGTTGCCCAGGGGAGGGTGTGTGTGCGCGCAGAATTCATCATCATTTTCAAAAGCACGTTGTCTTTTGCCACCACGCAGCATCACTTACTTCCCGTGGGGCCCCCAAGCCCGCAGCCGTCCGGACTCAGAACCCAGCCGGGTTACGCCGGACTGCTTCCTCGCTGGCTGTGACTCACTTTACCCAGGCGGGCGCCGGGTGCGTGAGACTGTTCTCAAGCTGCGTCCTTGTTTCCCTCAAGGGCTAAGCACAACCACCCCGCCCCCCACCCGGCCCCATCATGGCCCTAGTGCCGCCAGCGCTGTGATCAGGAGCCACGCAGAGGGATCCCTCGAAGCAGTCTTGGCACTCCCGCTGCACGCCAGGGGGATTTTGCACGCTGCGCTTCGGGCAGCTTCCCAGGGGGGTTTCCAGGTCAGGGGTGCGCCCTGCGTTGTGCGTGCAACCTTGTGTGCCTCTGAGCCTGTGCTCAGAGGCTGGAGCAGGTCCCCTGCACACCTGCCATGGGTGTACACACGCGGTGCATGCACTTTCCACCCCGAGTCAGAGCCGCTGCCTCGGCTGGGAGCTGAGAAGACCCCCCTAGTGTCTCCCGCACCTGCGGCTGACCCTCCCCCGGACTCAGGGCTTGAAGGTGTGCAGGCCTCACCCGTCCCGACCCTCACCTGGCCCCAGCTGGGTCCTCTCCCCTGCCCTGGATCCTCTCGGTAACCAGGGTCAGAAACCCAGCCCAACAGGCCCAGCAATTTGGGGAGAAACCCGTGTCACTGCAAGTCCAAGACATCAGGCCCACGTGGACAAGGGGGCAGAAACAGGTTGTCCAGAATCTCCAGCTGTCTCGTGGTTCTGACACTGGAAAGCATGGGCCCGGAGCCTCACTGCTGGGTCAGAACCAGAGCTCCACCACTTTCCTACAGCGGGAGTTTAGCCGGGTCACCAAAACCTCTGAGCCTCAGTTTTCCCGTCTGTGAAACGGGAACAATGACAGCCCCCGCCGAGCTCAGGGTTGAGAGGATCACGGGGCCACTGGAGGGGTGGAGCCTGGCGGCACCTGGCACGGGCGGGAGCCACGTGCGTGTCTCTTCTGCAGACACCTGAGCCCGTCTCCTCTGGGGGCCAGGAAGGCCAGCGTCTAGCAGAGAAACTGACCTCAGGGCAAGCGGGCTTGTTCTAAGCAGAGGCCCTGGCCAGCGGTGTCCCGGCCTGGACCTGCCGGCTTTCGCCCGCCACGGCTTACCTGGACAGGCGGAGGGGGTGAGGGGCAGCGTCCGTGAGGCACGGAAGAAAGCGTGGTGCCAAGTATTTAAAAGAAAGAAAGTGGAAGTCGCTCAGTCGTGTCTGACTCTTTGTGACCCCATGGACTATAAAACAGTCCAAGGAATTCTCCAGGCCAGGATACTGGAGTGCGTTGCCGGTTCCCTTCTCCAGGGGATCTTCCCGACCCAGGAATCAAACCCAGGTCTCCCGCATCCAGGCAGATTCTTTGAGTCAACAGGGAAGCCCAGGTATTTAAAGACAACTCTCCATATCGGATGTTCAGAAAAATTCCAAGTAAGACGTTTTCAAGCATGCACATGAATCTTAATCTGGGTCAACAGACACACCTTTTCTCACACCTGTCGAACCTGAGAGGGCTAAACCTATGGCCTGCTGGAGATCTGTTTCCGGGACCAGGCCTTTGGGGTCTGGATGTTATCTGCTGTCAGAGGGTGGCAGGGGCCGGGAGGAAAGCAGGGAGGCTGCTGCCCAGCGCCCTCTGGTGTCCAGTGGGAAGTTCACAGGCCGGGCCAGCCAGGCTGGATCAGTCCACAGGCTCCAATGTTATTCAGTCGCTCAGTCGGGTCTGACTCTTTGCGACCCCGTGGACTGCAGCATGCCAGGCCTCCCTGTCCATCACCATCTCCCAGAGCTTGCTTAAGCTCACGTCCACTGAGTCGGTGATGCCATCCAACCTTCTCACCAGAATAAACGTCGCCACACAATCCCTAACCAATCTGACTAAACGGCTGCAAAAAGAAATGACTCGGTAAGCATAAAAATTCCCAGCCACACGCGGTCTCCCTCCCCGCATGGCTGGCAGGTGAGCACTGGGAAGCTTGGAGTTCCGCGGGCCGCAGGCTGGGGTGCCGGCGTGGGGAGGGCGATCTCACAGGTGGGCCTGCCGCCCAGCCTCCTGGAGAGAAGTCCTGCGTCACGCACCCGCTCCGGGCGTCTCGCCTAGAGAACCCCAGGGACGGAGGAGCCGGGCAGGCTGCTGTCCACGGAGTCGCACAGGGTCAGACGCGACTGAGCGACGGAGCACACAGCCTGAGTCATTAGGACCGTGCCCCCTTTCACAGTCAGGGGCCCTGCTTCCCTCTGAATAATAAGTATAAATAACTAGCGCGTGAGCGATGGATGAGGAGAAGCATCTCCTCCCAGTGGCAGCCAGCCCTGAACTAGATTGTCCGCCATGGGGACAGCCAGCAGAACGTCCACGGGGCCTGTGGCTCAGGCGGTGTGGTCCTGTCCATGTGCTTTCCCGACGTGAGTGTTTGCGTGGAGGTGGCCAAGTGGGTATCAAGCCAGAGGAAGGTCCATCTGCAGGGACCACACAGGATGGCGTCCTGGGGCTGGCCCGGTGCCCACCCTGGCTGTCGGCGCTCCGGGGACGCGAGGCCTCTGCTCCCTGCATCTGCAGCTGAGGCCAGAGGGTGCGGGTTCCTCGCAGCAGCGCAGTCTGACCCGCGCCCAGCTCCCTGGCTTCCCGCCCCTCCCGGCCTCGGAGAGACTTCCTGCTCAGGTGATTGGTGTCCCCTCGAGCGATGGATCAGGTGGGTCCGACCACGACAGGCCCTCCGCAACCCCCCGTGGACGCAGGGGCCGGCTGTGACTGTTCTGAGATGGACTGAGAATTCCAGGCAAGGGGAGCGAGCGTCCTGGATGGGAGTTAGTCTACTAACGTGTATGTATTTGAAATTACATACTCAAAAGTTTAATTTTAATAATGCACACATGCCATCGGCCATCAGAGCTATGACGTTATCGCCGGCCGGGTCTTGAAAATTCCCCGGTGCACTCGTGTTCACTACTACAAGTATAGCTTTGACCTCAGGGGCCCCTCGAGGGGTCTCAGAAGCCCGGAGGGCGAGGAAGGACCCAGTGTGAAAGCTCTGGGCCTGTGCCCTGATTGCCCGACCACTGGGAGAACACCCCAGACCTCCGTCCCCTGGATCTGCCCTGGAGCCCCTCGTGTGCACAGGGGATCAGACAGACGCAGAGCGGGCATCGGACACTGATCACTGGAAAACAGAATGCACAAGTAGACGGTGCTCTGTTTACACAACGGAGAGCCGGACGGGAGTGGGGAGACCTGGGACGAGAGCTGAGTGAGGACAGCAGGCGGGAGAAGAGCTGTGTGAACGCGCTTGTTTGAGGTAAAGCCCGTTGTCTGTGGATGCACACACGTGTGCTCTGGTGACAAACGGGAAATTCACACCAGTGGGCACGTGGTCCCAAGGGCCGGGCCAGGTCAGGAGGGAGGAGACACGGGGGCTCTCGTTGTCCCTGATGCTTAATCCCCACGGTTGTTATTAAAACACCGCCCAGGGGCTGTTATTAAAACTGCGTCTCCAGCAGCTACTGAGGGCAGAGTCTCGCCCCTGAAGCCCTGGGCCTCACCCACAGCACCCGATGTCCTCCCTGCAGAGGCGATGCCCCCCAACCCCCCGGTTGCCCATCCTCTTCTGCTCACCGTCGACGTTTCCAGCTTGTTGAGCCTTTTTTTCCCCCCTCGTCTTGGTGCACAGTAGTGAAATTTTAGCTTCCGGCCTTGGAAACTCTTAAGGCTTTCTTAGGGCTGATTAAAAGGAATCTTAGCAAGATAAGGAAAGTCACATCCCGCATCCTCCCAGCTGCGAGCACACACCTGCTCCTTGGAAGCCGAAAGTTGGTCCTGATGGGAAGTGGATGGAGACCATTCCCTGGGCGCCCCGAAGTCCTGCCAGTGCGGGGACTGGCGAGAGGCAGAAGTCTGATCCTGCTTCCCCCCCAAAACCCATGCTGCCCCCCAAATCCTCAAGGGCCGCCCCGCACGCAGAGTGAGGACCATCCCGCCCGGGGGCACGGGGGGCTCCCGGCCCCACCAACCCTCCACACCACCTTCTGCCCTTTTCCTTTTTATTAGAAAACAGATCAGGAAAATAGACACACTTCGGCCCACCCACTGGCGCAGGCTCTGGGGTGGGGGTGGGAGATGAGGAGGCCAGTCCAGTCCCGGGCCCCAGGCTGCAGGGAGGCGGCGGCCGGCCAGCCCTGGGACACATGGCTGGGGCCGCGTCCCTGAGCGGGGCAGGGGCAGCTGGGAGGGGGAGCGGACCCGGCTGAACAGAGGTGGGGACAGAGGGTGGGCAGGGCCCCTCCTCCGCTCTGCTGGGGCTCTCCTCCCCCAGCCCCCTGCAGCCAGTCCCCCGTGGCCCCACCCCCTGGGGCAGCTGCCCTAGGCGTTGATGGCCTTCCAGTGCTCGCTCTCCCCTGCAGTCCTGCCCCCGGGGCGGCTGCATCAGGCGTTGATGGCCTTCCAGCGCTCACTATCCACGCTGTTGATGCTGCCGGCGTGGCAGGGCAGGGAGGCCACGTCGTCTAGATAGGCCACCCCGGCAGAGTCAAACTGTGTGCTGGCCGCCCCGACAGCCTCCGGGCCCTCCCGCCGGGCCACGGAGTAGGGCTGGGGCAGGTGCATGTCCGGCTCCTCAGTCTCGTCCACTTGGCATTTGTAGGAGAAGAGAATCTTGGGCTCCGAGCTGGTGGGGAAGAGTCAGAGGGCCCCCGTGAGTCCAGAAGGCCCTCTTTTGCTGACGGCCCCCAGTGCCCACCCCTCGAGGTGCCCTTCCTTCTTTGCCCTCTGGGGTCCACTGGGACACGTGTGAGCCCCCCAGCTCCAGGAGAGTGAACCTGGGTGCATGTGCTTTCTCACGTCAAGTGGGTGGACGGAGTCCAGCCTGGGGAACGGCGGGCCTTAACCAGCAGGTGCGTGTAGCACGAGGCGGCCACCACTCTGACCCCCACCCGCCCCGCTCACCACTGCCCACTGGGTGCCTGGTGGCCCGTCCCCAGACCTTGGGGTGACTCTCCCGGGAGAAAGCAGCCTGAGCCCAGTGAGGTCGTGCGTGAGGTCACACATGTCAGGGTCCAGTCTAGGCCCCCACCCCCTCAGACCACCCTCAGACCTGGCAGGTAGGGAAGGGGCTGGGGGCAAGACGCGCACTCCCACAGCTGAGGCTGGGATCCCTCAATCCCACAGTCTCCAGCTTCCCGCTCCCTGACAGGCCTCCAGACACACACGTGTACAAAGGTGTGCCCACCCGACGCTCAGAGGCATGGTGACCCCCCCCAACCCTGCTCCCTGCTCCAGGTGCCCCCGATGGAACACCAGCTCCTCCGGGAGCTCAGGGCTTGCGGCTGCAGCGCCGACATCACGCTTGCTGAGGATGCAGTGCCAAGCACAAGGGCGTGTTGGCAGGTCCAGCCTCCGGGGAACAGGCTGTGCGTGTATATAATGTGTGTGTCTGTAGTGTGTATATATCTACTAAATGTGTGGACACACACGTGTGCCTGTGTGTGCGTGTGTGAAAGTGAAAGCTGCTCAGCTGTGTCCAGCTCTTTGCAACCCTATGGACTGTACAGTCCATGGAATTCTCCAGGCCAGAATGCTGAAGTGGGGAGCCTTTCCCTTCTCCAGGGTATCTTCCCAACCCAGGGATGGATCCCAGGTCTCCATATGTGTGCGTGTATACATGTGTGCGTGTGGCTGAGCTACATATAGGCACATGCGGGTGCAAACGTGTGTACATGCATGCATGTGTACATACATTTGTGCGTGCATGCATGTGTGTACACACATGTGTGCACAGTGCATGTGCCTGGTGCATGCACACACATGTGCACACACGCGCGGGCATGCTCTCACATGCACCCCCCAGCCTCCTCAGCTCCTAGAAGCCTGGGTGCCCTGAGCCTGAGGCCGGGAGGCCCGGGGCTGGCTGTGCGTGGGCCAGCGGCAGAGGGCGCGACCCCGCCCTGGCCTCTGACCCGGACTCTGGCCCTGCGTCCCTGGCGCAGGGGAGTGGGGGCCGGGGGCGGTGGGGCTCACCCGAAGAAGCCGCGCAGGAAGGCCACGTAGATGAGGGGTGCGAAGAAGCTGAAGTAGAGGAAGGTGGTGGCGTCCACGCAGCTGGGGGTGGTGGTGAGTCAGGATTGCGGTGGGGGGACCTGCAGCCTCCTGGCCCCCCAACCCTCGCCCCTCCCCCACCCCGACACGTACCAGAGTCCCTCGATGATGTCGGCGCACAGCAGCGCGCTCCCCAGCCCCTGCACCAAGTTGAGCAGTGCCAGTATGCCTGCGTACACATAGAAGCTCCTCCGCGCTGCGGGGCAGGCACGTGAGTCCTGCCCGGGGCCAGGGCCCAGGGCACCTGCACCCATAACCACCCCGCCGACCACCCCAACCACCACCACCCCCACTTCCCAACACCCCGCACCTCCAACCACCCCCAACCCAAACCCCACAACCACCTCACAAACCCCAACCACCCCTCAACCACTCCCCATCCCCAATCACCCCCGCCCCGGGCACTCACACGGCAGGGAGATGCGCTCCTTCAGCGGGGTCTTGGGGAGCACGACCACCAGGGAGTAGACCTAAGGAGGCAGCGGGGCTGACCGGGGTGCCCAGCCCCTCATAAGCGCGCCCAGGCCCCGCGGGCGGCCCCAGCCCTGTCGGCTCACCAGGAAGAAGAAACAGGAGCTGACGAGCCAGAACTGGCGGCCCCCGTGCCCGTAGATGTTGAAGTCCTCGGCTGACAGGTGGGCGTCGGGGTACAGGATCTCCAGCGTGCCCTGCAGGGGCGCCGGGGCGGGCCTCAGGGGCTCCCTGCCGCGCCTCCCGCAGCCCGCCCCACTAAGGCCCTCCGCCCCCGGCTTCAGCCGCTCTCTGCCACGGCGTGCCCCCAGGGGTGGTCCCTCACTAGGAGAGGGCCCTCTGGAGGCCGGCTCTCGGGAGGTACCCGCAGAGCTGCCCGGCTGCTTGCTGAAACAGCAGGTCCAGCTTTGTTGGATCAGAATCCCAGGCACCCAGCACGCAGCTTGCAGGCGATTCCTTCGCGGCATGGAATGTTTGAGCCCCTGCCCTTGACGCCCTGACGCCCCCCACCCAGGACTGGAGGCGGTGCCCGCCCAGCACCCCCGCTGCCCGTCCCCCGCCCCTCACCTGGGTGACGGAGTAGGCCAGCGACAGCACCGTGGTGATGGCCAGCACCCGCTTGATGCTGGACTTGCTCTCCAAGTGCCCTGGAATAAGCGGCCTGGTCAGGGGGCGGGGCCAGCTCTGGGGGCGGGGGCCAGCTCTGGGGGCGGGGGCCAGCTCTGGGGGCGGGGCCAGTTCCGGGGCGGGGCCAGTCCCGGGGCGGGGCCAGTCTCGGGGGCGGGGCCAGGGCGGGCGCAGGCCGCAGGGGCGCACACACCAAAGGCCAGGCCCAGGATGACCACGCTCAGCTCGATGGCCAGCAGGAAGAAGCGCGTGATCTCCCACAGGATCTGGACAAAGAGGGGGACAGAGCGTCAGCCCCGGGGCCCGGCGCCCCCTCCTGGCGCCCAGCACCCCCACCGACAGGCCCAGGCCCACCTTGTCAGCCACTGTGGCCGCGTCTGACGTGCTGACCGTCATGGACACCACCGCCCGGGCAATGCCCACCAGCGCCACCACGAATACCTGGGGAGGCAGAGAGAACCCAAGGTGGGGGGGCGGTCGCACTGGGGGACAACCTCTCCGGGAATCGCTTCTGTGGGCTCAAGGCCATGCCTTCTGACCCCTGGGCCTGGAAAACCGTGTCCGGCCTCGGGGAGGCTGTCACCGCCCGGGGCCACATGCCCGCCGCATCCCAGGGCGGGCCAGGGGCCAGGGTTGGGAGCTCTGTGTGCTCCCACTGGGTGCGTGCTCACAGTGCTGTGAGCTGGCAAGATCCGCAGCGCATCTGGTGGATGGGCACTGAGGCCCAGAGGGCCCATGCCGCTGGCCCAACGTCGCTTGGCACAGCCAGAGGTCAGAACACGCTGGGCATCCCCCACTCAGCACCCACTCCCCTTTCCCTCCAGTCACGCTTCCCCAGTTTGCTTCCTGGGGCCACTACCCTCCTGGGTCCACGCGGTCTTGCTGAGCTGAGCACCCCTCCCAGCTCCAGAGCGTCTCTTTCTCTGCAAGTCGGAGATGAAGAGGGGCTCCCAGGCGGGCCTCTCAGAGGTAACGCCAGGTCTGCAGTGCGCAACTCGTAATGCTGCCCTTCCGCTGCAGCTGGCGGGGGCCAGCTCAGGGGGGTCAGCACTCAACGGTCCTGGATGCTTTTGATACCGTGCAGGGAGAATGCGTGTGAAGGTAAGGCCAGAGGCAAGCAGATGTGCAGAGAGAGGGTCTTGACGGCATCAGTTAACCCCTAGATCCAGCCGTACCTGAAGCTGATTATTCTTTACAAAGACAGTTAATAATTCCCTGTTTTGCTTAAGCCAGGTGGAACTGAGTTTTCTGTCACCAATTGGAATGAACTCACCAGGATATAAAAGGTGATAAAGATGGGGCTGGAGGTGACTCGAATCTTGGCCCGAGCAAACGGAAGCTTCCAGAGCAGGAAGATGAAAAACAGCACATTGGGGACGAGCAACAGGAGGTCCCAGTACCGGACCCTGGAAGGTGGGCACAGCGGGCGGTTCAGTGGGGGGCTGCGCCTGCACCCCAGCGCGCCGGCCGCACACTCACACACATACACACACACAAATACACAGGGCTGTGCCTGCCTCACACACACATAGCACGCACACACACACGCCCACAGGGAACCCCTCTCACGGGCAGGGCCGTGCCCCTCACCGCGAGGTGCCGATGTCCTCCTAGAGCAGCGTGCGCACACACACACATGCACATGTACACACACGCATGTGCGCACGCACACCCCCCCCCCACAGGGAACCCCTCTCACGGGCAGGGCCGTGCCCCTCACCGCGAGGTGCCGATGTCCTCGTAGAGCAGCAGCAGGCAGCGGTGCGGCACGCTGATGTTGGGTGCCAGAGGCGGAGGCGAGCTGGCCCCCATGTCCCGGGTGTCCATCCTGCCAGCAGCTGGCCCTGGGGAGGGGAGAGTCAGCACGTGAGCAGCGCCAGAGTCTTGGGGTCCCCAACCCAGAAGGCAGGAGGGGTGTCTGCAGGGAGCGCGGGGCCCGGCAGCGGGACGTGACAGATGCCAGCGTTGAAAACGATGACTGAACATGCCGCGCTCCTGACCCGGTGCCCCGACCTCCGGCCGTCGCGACAGCCCGGGGCAAGAGCAGCCCAAGTGCCACCATCAGCAGAATGCACACTCAGCATGGTGTCCGCACCAACGCTCGAACACTGCCCACAAACAGGAGTGAGTCCCTGTCCTGGCCTGGCAGGCAGCGTGCCGAGTGGAGGCCGGGGTGGGCACCCGGTGGAGGGCGGCGGGCCCACGGCGGGATTGGTGTGCGGGTGTGCTGGCTGTAGCCGTTCACCGAGCTCACGCCTGTGAGTGGGGCGCATTTCTGGGTGGGTTACTGCTTCAGCAGGTTTCCAACAACAAGGAAGGTGAATCGTTTACGCACTGAGTGCCCAGGTCGGCCATGAGCAGCCCAGGACACTTCCTGTGGGGGCCAGCACCCGCGGTGCAGGCTGGGGTTGGGGGTGCAGGGGCATCCCTGCACTTGGGGAGACTCTGGGGTGGGCGGGCCTGGACCAGGGGCTCAGAACCCTCTATCCTTCCCTCCCACACAGGCCGCCGGCCGGCTCTGGGATCAACAACCTGATGAGAAGGCCGGGAGGTATTAAAGGGGATTAAAGGTATTAAAGCACCCGTGCTTACAAACCAAACTTCTAGAGGTACATGCTGAGAAGAAAACAGGAGGGGAACAAAATAAATGACGGGAAACACAGCAGAGACTGCTGGGGTCCCCAGCGTCCACGCCCGCTTTGTACCAGAGCTGTGGACTCTAGCTGGCATGTGACTTCCCAGAAGCAGGGCCACTTTCCCAGCTTCCCTTCGTGCTGGCTGTGGCCACGTGACCAAGTTGCGTCCAACTGGGTATGAGCAGCAAGGTGTGCCAGTTTTCAGGGCACGTCCTCCTCCTTTCCCACTGCCTGGAATTGTGGGTGTGGTGGTGGGAGCAGTAGCATCCAGTGTGGACTATGAGGCAGAAGTCATGGAGCAGAGGGTAACAGGGTGTCTGGGTCTCAGACGAGCAGGTCAGCCTGCACAGACTGTTGTGCAGCAGATGGCAGTACCCATCTACCTTGTCATCTCAGCCTTGCTCAGTAGCTAAGGCGGGATGCAAAGTAGTGCTGCCACAGGCTGGGTTGTCAGACAGAATGATATTTGGACTGAGATCTAAATAACTGAAAGTAGCTGGACTGGGGTAATCTGGGCAGAGCACATCCCGGGGAGGGAGCAGTGAAGGCAAAGGCAGGAGGCAGAAACAGTCTTGGCCAGTTCAAAGGGCACAGGCTCGCTGATGCTGGAAGAGAGAGGAGACAGGGTGGGGACCAGGTCAGCCAATCTCCCTCTACGCACAGTGGGAGGGGTGGAGGGGGGTGGGTGGAGGTGGAGGCGGCACCGAAGCAGGGGGATGGGGGCAGGGAGGCAGCGGCGGGGGTGGAGTGCTGGGATCTGGGGGCCTCCCGCTGGGAGGGTCGGCCAGCGGGACTCACAGACGAATGCAGGGGTGAGGGCAGGAGAAGCTCACTCCAGGCTCCGACCTGAGCCTTGGGGTGCCTGCGGCGGCCCGGCCGTCTGCGGACGGTGTCCCCAGGATTGCTAACGTGAGGGGGCTGTCCCTGGGATTGCTAAGGTGAGAAGAGTGTCCCCACGATTGCTAAGCAGGTGCTCCGTCATTGCAGGACCCCCTTGACGCCCTGTGCTCACGACAGGGCCCCTCACCAGTGCCAGAAACTGAGGCCACTGACCACGAGCCAGGGGTTTCCAATGGGGGTGGCGTGGTCAGTGCGGGCCCCTCCGCAGGCAGCTTCAGAACTGCCTCATGTCCTGCAGGGACCCCCACACACCCGAGAGGAGCCCGTGGGTGGACGGCGGCCAGAAAGAGTGGGTGTGCGGTTGGAGGATCTCTCCTGGCTTTGCATGGCCAGCACCCCCATTTCCTAGGGGAAACCTCAGCACCCCCGTCTCCGTGCACAGGGTGTAGGTACAACTTCCAGCACCCCTTCCCGAACCCCAAGGAGTGCTCACACTGGAGTCCACGTGGAACGAGAGCAGACAAGGAACACAGAGAGACACAGACAGTGCCGGGTCCAGCCATGCCTGAAGCCAGGCTCCCCAGCCCCTCCACATTCTGAAATCTTAACAGACCCCCAGCTTGACCTCCTGGCTCGGCCAGGTGCCGCCTTTGTGACCTTGGGCCGGTTATCCCCCTCTCTCAGTGTCACGGGGCCGCAGCATCCCCACCAGCAAGGTCGCTGGAAGGGTCAGGCAAAAGCAGGGAAGGGAGTCTGCACAGGACCACACACACAAAGGTAACTGCCGCTTTCTTCCCAGAGGGGGAGCCGGGGGTGGGGGTGGGGGGCAGGATTTGGTTCATGGGTCCAAGCCCCACTCGCTTCGGAGTCTGGGCTGGGGAAGGCAGGTGTCCACTGTGTCTACTTCCCCCGCCCTGGCCCCACTAGCCTTGTAATAGCGGCAGAAGAGTAGACAGACCCCCACGGCCCAGCCTGCCTCCCGGGCCCAGGGCCCCCTCCCGGGGGGTGTCCCAGGGTTTGGTGTCTCCCCTGCAGGCGCAGGGCGCCCGGGGCCTGATCCAGGGTGGACTGCTGGTAACAAGCAGGCTCGGGGCGGGCAGGGGTGGGAATCACACGACTCACAGCAGGTTGCCACGGTGTGTCAGAGCTAACAAAATAACCGAAGCCAGGATACAAGCAACAAGACGGCACACCCCTCCCTTCCCGTGCGCACTCAGGGCCCGTGCTTTCCACGCGCTGACCTGTGGGGCCACCACCCCGGCCTCCAGACAGAAGGAGGCTGAGGGGGACCGTCACAGGCTCCCCCGTTCCCCTCCCCAACCACAGGTGAGCTCCAGGCAATGCCAGAGTGAGGGGTCTGCAGGAGAGAGGGGCCAGGAGGGCAGGCTGGCAGAGGGCGCGGAGAGAAGGGGTCTTCATGGGATGCTGAGTACCCTGGGCAGCCCCGCACCGCTCAGGACCAGGGCCGCTATGACAGACTGTCTCTTCCACCTGGGGAGGACGCTCCTGACCTTGCTGCCGTATCAGAGACCTCCTCCCACCCTCTAGCCCTCCCTCCGTCTTCGGCCAGCCTGTGGGCATCATGCCAATGGTGTGGGCCCTGCGTGCTGGACCTGGGCCAGAAGGGCCCTCCCTCTCTGAGCCTCAGTGCCTGGGTCTCCCTGGTCTGTGCAGTGGGACTGACCATGCGTGGCCCAGAGGTCCTGGATGGGAGCCCTGCAGAAACACAAAACCCTGAGCAGACAGGCTGCTGTGGAGACACCCCTCAGGGTGGCCGGCCCCAGCTGCTCAGTGAGCTTTCAACCCTGAACCAAGACTGGGTGAAGAATGTTTCACAACCATTATCCTCCAGCCTTGGGGAAGCGGGTGGACCCTACCTGGAGCCCCCAAGAGGGAAAACAGCCCTGTGCCTTCTGGCCTGACCTCTGCAGATTCCCTGCGTGCTCTCCCTGCCCCCGACCGGGTCACACCCTTTGGGCCACCTCCTCTGAGGCGCCCTCCTTGACCACCCCTTCCATCTGAAATGGCCCTCAGCTGTGTGTCTATGGGCTGTCCATCCAGGGCGTCTCATGACCCAGTTCTCGGGGGGACAGCCAGTGTGGTGAGTTGGACACATCAACGTCCAGCAGCCGAGAGAGGGCAGCCCAGCCCTTCTGGAGAGTGGGAGGACCGTCCGGGTGACCCCACGGCCCCATCCCCACCACACAGCGAGGACAGGTCACTTCCCGCTGCCCCAGCCAGGAGACACCCCCCACCCCCCATCCTCTCGGGCGCGGGAGCCGGAGGTGACCATTCGCAGACACGTCTCGGCACACAGCCGAGGGCACAGGGTCCGGGAGCTCGGCCTCCCCGGGGACCCCGGGCCTGCCTCTGGGCGGGAGGCCCGCTCCCGGCGGCAGGAGCCTGGACAGGGACGCTCGGGATCGGCTCGCGTACCTGGGGCAGAGCAGGGGCTCCCCCTTACCTGAGGCCCCGGCCGCCCATCCGCCGCCGGGCGCAGACCCCGCCAAAGGCCGCGGGCCTGGGCCTCCGGCGCTCGGGCCGGGAAAGTGGTGCGGGGAGCGTGGCGCGGGAGGCCGGCTCCGGGAGACAGGGCGGAGGGCGGGCGGGGAAGGAAGACGCGATCGGGACACTTGATCAGCCTGACCCCGCGCGGCCCTCCCGGCAGCGGCGATCCGGAAGGGAGGTGCGTCCTCTGCGTTCCGCCAAAACTGCGAAAACAGCCACCGTCCCTGCCCGCGGCGGCTCGGGGACCCGCCCCCAGCCGGCAGCGACCAACAGGAACGGAGTTACGCCAGAAAGGGGGCGGGGCGAGCGCAGAGGACGGAGCCAATCGGGTTCCCGGGGGGCGGGGCGGTCCGCCGGCCTCTTAAAGAGCCCGCGCGCGGTCCACTCGGCCGCCAGGGGTCGCGTCCGCAGCCCTTTGCGACTTGTCTGTCCACGCCCACCGCCCGCAGCGCCCCCTCCTCCAGCGTCCAGGGAGGCGCTCCGCCGCCGCCGGCCCGGTGACCTCCGGGCCCCGGGGACTAGCCCCCACCCGGGCCCGGCGCGGCCCCTTTGCACCTGCCCACGCACCCTCCGCCTCCAGGCCGCCTGTCATCCGTCCCTTTTCGCAGAGCAGACCCCGGGGCGGAGGCGTTAAGCGCTTCCCCCGAAGTCACAGGAGCAGGAAGTGACAGGACCCAGGTCTGGGGTTTGGCCCGCCTTCCTTCGCCGCTTACTTCCAGGGAGCCTCCTCCAGGAAGACCTCCCAGATAGCCTGTTCTTCCCCTCCTGCGTGTGCGCGGGGTTCACTCCTCTGCCCCCCACCACGAGGCTCCGCCTGGCCTGGCCCCTCCTGTCTCCTCGTCCTCATCCCTCCCACCCGCTCCTCTCTGGGTTCCCTGTTTCTCTTCCTTGAATACACCAAGCTTCCTTACCTGTGGGTCTGTCACTTAACACACACTTCCACTTGACACCCTAGCCAAAATAGCTGTCCAGTCTCTGTAACACAAAGCCCTTTCATTTCCTTCTCAGTTGTTACCCAAAACTGTATTCTTTTTTCCGGGGGTGTTAGGGCTTCCCTGGTGGCTCAGAGGTTAAAGCGTCTGCCTGCAATGCGGGAGACATGAGTTCAATCCCTGGGTCGGGAAGATCCCCTGGAGAAAGAAATGTCCCAACCCACTCCAGTATTCTTGCCTGGAGAATCCCATGGACAGAGGAGCCTGGTGGGCTACAGTCCACGGACTCGTGAAGAGTCGGACACGACTGAGCGACTTCACTTTCTTTCACTTCTTTGAGTTGAAAGACACAACCAAGGTAAAGAGCAGGACAAGGAAGGATTTATTATCTGCAGCAAGTGAGGAGAACATATGGGATCTTTCCCAAATTAATGCAAGTGCAAGTCACTCAATGGGGTCCGATTCTTTGCAACCCCATTGGCTATACAGTCCATGGAATTCTCCAGGCCAGAATACTGGAGTGGGTTCAGTTCAGTCACTCGGTCTTGTCTGACTCTGCGATCCCATGGACTGTGGCAAGCCAGGCCTCCCTGTCCATCACCAACTCCCGGAGTTTATGCAAACTCATGTGCATTGAGTCGGTGAGACCATCCAACCACCTCATCCTCTGTCGTCCCCTTCTCCTCCCGCCTTCAATCTTTCCCAGCATCAGGTATTTTCCAGTGAATCAGTTCTTTGCATCAGGTGGCCACAGTATTGGAGTTTCAGCTTCAGCATCAGTCCTTCCAGTGAATATTCAAGACTGATTTCCTTTAGGATAGACTGGCTGGATCTCCTTGCAGTCCAAGGGACTCTCAAGAGTCTTCTCCAACACCACAGTTCAAAAGCATCAATTCTTTGGCGCTCAGCTTTCTTTAAGGTCCAACTCTCACATCCATACATGACTACTGGAAAAACCAGAGCTTTGACTAGACAGACCTTTGTTGGCAAAGTAATGTCTCTGCTTTTTAATATGCTGTCTAGGTTGGTCATAACTTTCCTTCCAAGGAGTAAGCGTCTTTTAATTTCATGGCTGCAGTCACCATCTGCAGTGATTTTGGAGCCC